GATCACCGAGCCCTTTAATGCTCCGTAAAACGATTTTTAAAACCTACGTCAAGGTAAATGAGATAATAAAAATAGTGAAGTAAAAGAATAAACAAAAGAATGCATTTTATGAATAAAATACAAATAATGGCCTAAATTGCTATGTAAACATAATAGTGATTAAATGTGTATAAAATGCATTTGGATTGTACTAAAACGGGCTAATATGAAGGAATAAAATATGACATTTGAAGACTTATCAAATACCCCCACACTTAGCCTTTTGCACGCCCTCGTGCAAAGTAGATTTTGACAATCAAATCTTTCTTTTTGTGTTAGAAAGCAGAATTCACAACAATTCCCCTATCTCTAAACAATCTAAGGTGTTGCTTAAAACATTAACTAAAGATTAAAATTGTACCAAACAGAGTGAACACCTTAAAAATCAGCTTGCTACTTTAAACTTTAAAACAAGTCTTTCACTTCAAAACTAAGTAGAAACTATTTTCATTTGATGTCAAACCTTTAAATTAACTAAGATCATTGAGAAGAATTTAAAAGAAATAAATAGAGCAGCAAAAGGTAGTTAGAAGTCCTAAGAAACACTCAAATAAAGAAAAGCTTAAGAAAATTTATTTTCTTTCCTAAAATCTGGAAACTTTTAATTATTACTTTGATTTAATATTAAATTTTTAGTTGTTTGAGTTGACCCGTGTAGCGAGTCTCAACCAGGCTACCCCAGACCCATTCCAGATAGCCCGGGACCTAAATAACGAAGTATTCCGAGGGTATCAACTCGAGTGCTCAAACAACCTTTTTACTCAATTATTTATTCTCTCTTTTTTTTGTTCATAGCCATTTATTGCCTCGTTTTTTTTTTGGCTCAATGGCGTCGGTTCTTTTTATTTGAACTGGTTATGGACGAGATTCGTACGGCCCAAAAACGGGGTTTGCTCTTCCAACTCAGGTTTTCTCCATACACAACACTTCCTTTTAGGATCTGTTGCTTAAGGGGACAAAAGTGTCGTGCCACCCATGCCAACCTAAGATGGTGTTCCAGTATACACATTTATTCATTTCAGCATCTTGATAATATGTAGATAACCAAAATTTAGGTAAGAAAAGAGATTTCCAAAAGATTAACTTTACTTGAACAGCAACTTAGGACAAAAGAGTTAGAAAAAAAACTGCTCTAAACACTTCTAAATAAATTATGCACCTTGAACTTAGCTAATTAAAATATATGAAATTAAATAAAAATAGGTTCTGATCAGCTATGACTTAAAAGCAATGATTTAAACTTGAAAGTAGCAAACTCACTTTTAAAACACTCAACCCTATTTGTTACAACTTTAATTTGAATTTAATGCTAAAATGCAACACTTAGGGTGCTAAAAGATAAAGGAAACTATTGTGATTCCTAATTTTTCTCAGGATTTTTCCTTATCCTCAGTTTCTTTAAGAACTTAAGAGTTTTTAACCCTTTTTTTCTTAACCAAATCACATTAAATGCAGATTTTCTAAGATCCTAGCAAGCAGGTTTGAGACCTCTAAGGTATTACTGTCTCTGCAGAATCTCAGGAAGATAAATGCATTCCAAACTGGCCAAGTTTAAAACTAACAAATCAGCCCCTAAATATGCTTAAATGGACAGTTTATTGCAGTTTTTTTATGCATATAAGGCCTCCTACAAGTGATTAATGCAAAAAAGCAACATGTTCATAGCCCCCTTATACTAAAATCAGCATTTGAAATGAGAAACAGTCAGGACAGAGGGGAAAATGCATTTGGATTGTACTAAAACGGGCTAATATGAAGGAATAAAATATGACATTTGAAGACTTATCAGCTTGTTTCAAACCATACAAAGATTTCTTCAATTTGCACACAACATTAGAAGAATTAGAAAAACCTGGTGGCAGCCTCATGTACACTTCATCCTTAAGATCTCCATGAAGAAAAGCATTGTGTACATCCATCTGATGCAACTCCCAACCCTTCGCAGCTGCAACAGCTAGAAGAGTGCGTACTGTAGTTAACTTGACCACAGGAGCAAACGTTTTCTTGTAGTCAAGTCCCTCAACCTGATGATTTCCGAGTATAACCAATCTTGCCTTATACCTCTCCACACTGCCATCGGACTTGCGCTTGATTTTGTACACCCACTTGTAGCCCAGGGGCTTTTTATGACGTGGAGGAGCAACCAGCGACCACGTTCCAATAGCTTCCGGTGCATCAATCTCCTCCCGCATAGCCTTCCGCCATCACTCATCCTGAAATGCCTTTTTAAAATTCGTGGGCACCACTTCCTCATCAAGTGCCGTGAGAAAACAATTGTGTTTATGAGAGAACTTTTCATACGTGACATACGAGGAGAGTGGATATCTGCATCTTTCTCCGTTGTGTGGTCCAGTGACATGTGTAACATAGTCCGCAAGTCTCACATTTGGGCGTCTTTCCCTCTGACTACGCCCCAAGGTCTCTACTGTTTGCTGGGAAGAGGACGGTCAACTTCCATCCGTGGAACGGTCCACGGGGTCGACCGTCTGTAGCATCGCTAGTTCATCAAGTTTCTGCCTCGGGGACGGTCGACCGCCATCCGTGGAACGGTCCACGGGGTTGACCGTCTGTAGCTGTGCTGGTGCGTCAAGTTTCTGCCTCGAGGATGATCGACGGTCCTCGATGATACGGTCAACCGTTGAGTCTTCTCCTGAGAGTCTGTCATTCTGCCCTTCCGACGGTCGACCGTGGTCATCGGCACGGTCCACTGGGTCGACCGTCTGTAGCTCGTCTGCATCTCCATTGCCCGGCAGGCAACTGTTCCTCCAGGAACGGTCCAGATGGTCCTCCGTGAATAATTCCTCAGCATCTTCAAAGTAATCAGTGGCTGAGTTGCTCCTTAATGCATCCTCTCTGGGTGTTTCACCTGTGGAAAATAAGAAAGGGAAAATATCTTCACAGAACACAACATCACGCGACACACTGATCTTTCCGGTGTCCGGAAAATAAACACGCCATCCCTTCTTTCCTTGTGGGTAACCCAAAAATATTCCAGGAATACTTCTGGGTGCAAATTTGTCTCCATCTCTCTTCAAATTGTGAACATAACATCTGCAACCAAAGACACGAATGTGAGTCAGTGGCGGTGACCTTCCATAAAGCTTCTCATACGGTGTCACCCCCTAGCAACGACGAGGGTGTCCGATTGATCAAATAGGCTGTCGTTTGTATACAATCTCCCCAAAATTCGATCGGAAGACCGGCTTGAAACCTCAGGGCACGACCCACATTCAAAATATGCCGATGCTTACGTTCCACTCTACCATTCTGTTGTGGTGTAGACACACAGGATGTCTCGTGAACAATTCCCTTTTCTTGGAAGTATTCATTCAAGCACTCAAACTCTGTACCATTATCACTACGAACACATTTTATTTTCTTCCCAAACTGACGTTCAATCATGGCACAAAATTGTTTGAAGACACTTCCTACAGTACGTTTAGAATCAAGCAAATACACCCATACACCACGAGAGAAATCCTCCACAATAGTAAAAAACATCGTAGATCCATCAAAGCTCGGTGTCCGATAGGGACCCCACAAATCACAATGTACCATATCAAATTTATCCATAGATTGATTAAAGCTAATAGGAAAACTGGTACGAGTTTGTTTGGCACGTAAACAAACATCACAATGACTATGACTACTCTTATTCGATCCAACTACAGGAACTAAGGATAAAACATGTGAAGAAGGATGTCCTAGACGCTTATGCCAAAGGTCAAAAGAATTCTCCTTCGTAGCACTGCACGCCATTCTCCTTTCCTCCTTCTTTAGATAATATAGTTCTCCTTCTTGTCTACCCACACCAATCATTGTCCTCAACCTTAGGTCCTGTAAGATACACAAATCATTGGTGAACTTCGCCTCACATTTCATATCCTTTGTCAACTGTGACACAGAAATCAAATGACAATTCAAACTTGGGACAAACAACACATTCTGTAAAGTCATACTCATTGTTAAGTCAACCTTTCCAGATTGAACAGATACAGCCCGTTTTCCATCGGGCAAACCAATTTCACAAGGGGACACTCCCACCACATCATATAACAATGATAGATCACCTGTCATATGGTTGGACGCACCAGTATCAATTATCCAACGAGGTGATACAGGAATACCTGAAAGTTTTTGAGAATTATGGGCGGAAGAGAGTGAGAGAGCATGACGAACAGCATTCCACTGTTTAGACGTCAAATCCTCAAAATTGGACTGTGGAAACGGCCTTTCGCCCTGAACCACATGTACTTCACTTCGACCGCCCGTGACGGTCGACCGTCTAGCACCAACGGTCGACCGTCCCGCTCCTCTTCCTGGACCGCGGAAAGTTCCTCTCCCACGGTTGTTCCCTTTGTGCATCCCGTTTCGTGAGGTTTCATCTTGGACAAGAATATTGTATATTCTTGCCACAGGTGGTATGGTTTCTTGGGCAAGCAAGTTCGACCGCAAAGTCCCATACAAAGCACCATTTAATCCCATCAAAAATTGATGAAAATGTTCCCTCTCACGCATCTGCGCTAGCTTCTCCTGCAAGTCGCATGTGCAATTCCTACACGTGCAAACTGGAAATTGTTCTAAATCTGCAAGATCATCCCACAGCTTATTCATCTTTCCATAATATTCCATCACGGAAAGGTTTTTCTGTTTGCACTCTGCTAAGTCCCGCTTCAACTGCTGAACCCTGGGTCCGTTAACGACAGAGAAGCGAGCCTTCATATCACTACACAGAACTGATGCCTTCTCCACAAAAGAAATACTAGATCTCAAGGCTGGATTGATTGTGTTCCGAATCCAAGAGGCCAACAAAGAGTGATTTGTTCACCAATCATCAAAATCATCCGAATCGGGATCAGGCATCTCGATTGTTCCATCAACAAATCCAAATTTCTTGCGTGCTCGAAGAGCCAAACGCAGAGATTTGGACCATTCATCACAATTATCCCCTTTCAGAACAACATGGGTCAAAATCATACCCGGATTGTCGCTCGGGGACAAATCGTACGGAGAAATGCGTCGGCGACGCACCCCAACTTCCTCTTCTTCTCGTTCCTCATTGTTTTTGTTGGAAATAATCTTCATGTTCACTTCCTCGGACATACCGGATGCCAGATCAATAACAGGGCAAAATCGTAGCGGTGATTAAGAACAACTGTCGTCGGGACGGTCGATGACCTCGACCATTCTTCACTAACGGTCGACCGTTCCGGCGTCTGGCGGCAGCAGCGGGTGTTTGACCGATGGACGCGATGCCGGTCGATCAAGAACAGTGGCTGCGGAAATTTTAGGTTTTAGGCTCTGATACCATGAAAGGAATGGAAGAATTATTTGGGAGAAATCTCTCTTGTATTTCTGATGATCACAATTTACAACCAAGGCACGTATATATAGATTCTCACAAGCCGAGAATCCTAACTAAACAAGGAAAGGGAATCCTTATACAAGTAACTACCAATACAAGGAAACTACCAAAACTAATATATACGAAAATATATTCCAAATATTCTCTTTCTATTTTCTTTCCTTTTACAAACACCCCCACACCTTTTTCTTAATTGTTTTTTTCTCTCTTATTTGTAATAAATGTCTGTAAGTTTTTTTAGAAACTAATTTTTTTAGTTTTTAAAAATAAAAATAAAAAATAACATATACTTCATTTACCTTAAATTAAATATTTTTATTTTCAAATTAACGTTTATACTTCAAATCTTATGTGAATAGGTTTTCCACTCCTATAGTTTTAGAAATGGACACCAACGTCCCCACACATTTTTCTTAACTGTTTTTCTTTTTTCTCTTGTTTTTCACAAATGTATGTAAGTTGTTTTTGGAAAATAATTTTTTTAAAGTAATAAAAAATAAGAAATCTTTATGTTTGAAATCAAAACTTAACATAGATTACGAAATAAGATCTTATTTTGCACCGTTGCCCAACAAATTTCTTTCATATACTTTTCTTTTTCTTCATTTTATTTTCAATTCTTTTTTCTTTTATTTTTGACAAAAATAAGAAATGTTATAAATTAGTTTAAATAATAAAAAAGAGAAACAAAAAATAATAAAAAAAGAAATAAAAATGAACAGAATGGGAAATGAGCTTCATTGATTTTTGTTTTATGAAAATGAACCAATAAGGACCTTTTTAGACCAAAGAAACAAAAGAAAATATTTAATTAGAGACAAACAATTGAATGGCAATTGTTTTAGGAAGAACTCCCTTGATAAGAGAATAAAAAAATTTAAATTTCAAAATAGAAATCCTAAGTCTTTTAAGACCAAAATAAGAGTTTATATTATCATTTTTACACTGTCAGACTCACCAAATGATCACACTGCAATTGCCATACTATCAATGTCACACTGTTATTCATCGTCGCTGGCCACCAAAGTGTTGCTGTGAATCACTGACAGTTGACTGATCACACTGTCATGCATATTACATTGTCATTAATTTTTCATCACACTCTCAACGCGTACTCTTACATCATTTTGCAATGATAGTATTATTTTGGCCCTAAAAGACTCAAGATTTCTATTTTGGATTTTTCATACTTTTTTACTCTTATTTAGGGAGATTTCTTTTTTATTTCATTAATTTTTTATTTCAAACACAAAAGAATTTGACTTTTAAAACATTTTGAAAAAAGTTTTAAAAAAGAAATTAAAAGTATTTTTGTCTAAATGGGTATAGGCGTAGAAATGTTCAAACCATGAGGGGCAACGACGTAGGTTGCCACCCTGCCCACCCCTTGAGCAAGCCCGGATGAAACTCTTTGAAAAGTATTCAAGAAATATTAATTAGGAAAAAAGACTAAAGTATGAGTAAAACATTGAAAATATACAAAAATAGGAGTTCCATGTTTTTATTCTCGAAATAAGAGTTTAAATGTATTTACTTTACCAATCATGATCGCGTACATTACGTAAAACGCACATGTACAGTGCCACATTACCACAATGCGAACTCTTATTTAGAGAATAAAAACATGGAAATCATATTTTGTTACTTTCCCTATGTTTTAGTCTTATTTAGGGTGAATTATATATTAACAATAGATTTACAATAAGAGTTTAAGAGATAAGGCACGACACGCAGGCCGTATTATAATCAAATAAACTATAGCCACAATCATCCACCATGCATATCATACATCCACACAGGCAATAGAGATATACATACACTGGGCGAACCGCGCTCGCCCCAGACAATTCTAGAAAAATACTACGTTGGTAATATTTTCTAAAATTCATAAAGTGGTCCAAAAATTATGAAATTTTACCAAGTCATCCTAAACATATTATGTGACTTTCGGCCAGGGTCAAAACTGGAAAAGAAAATTCCAGTAGATAAAGAATTACGAAAATGCCCTTTTGCCAATTTTATTTTGAAAAATCCATTTAAATGAGAAATGAATTTTCAAAAATGATGAAAATTTATTTTCAGCTTCCAGTAACTATTTTATACACTTATAAATCGGAAAAATAAGTTTCCAGAAATTATAAATATTTATTTCCCAAATATATTAATTATATCTCAATAATTGCGAAAACAATTTTAAATAATTTTTCAAAATTCATTAAATTATAAAAATTTAATATTTAGAAAAATAAAGTTACCATTTACTGAGATATAATTTTCCAAAATGATATTAGCCATTTTTCAATTAATATATATATATATATATATATATATATATATATATATATATATATATATATATATATATATATATATTACTCGGTAATATATATATACCAAAATATATATAAAATTAATTACTAACTAATATTATTTTGTCCAATATATTTATGAACAACTTTATTTCACCTAGAAATAATATTTCCAAGTTTTATAAAGTTCATTTTTGAGTTTCCAATATTTATTTAAGATTTATAGGAATTAAATCTAAACAAATACAATTAACTCAAAAATTGGAAACAAACAATTTCGAAAATTACAATATAATTTTACTAACCATAAAATGAAATTTTATGTTCAATAAAATTATATTAAAATTTCGAAATATATATATTAATATATATTCGAAATTTCTGAATATATGTATAAAATACATATTTTCGTCACAAATAAATAATGAATATTTATTTTAATGATTTATTTAAGTCCAATATTTATTCCAACCGAAAAAGTTCTACGAAAAACTATAGTTTTGTACATTGGCTCTGATACCACTGAAAGGTAACCACGGTTGGGAGGGCAACAGAAATAGAAAAATTTAAACTCCCAATAGTGATTACTAGCCCAATGACACGTACTAAAACTATAACTAGAGATAGAAAGTTATACCTTCTCCGGTAAAGCGGTATGAACGAGAAGTCGAGCAAAAGGTGTTGAAGGAACAAACGTAGCCGTTCAAGTGTCCGGCCTCCAACTTTGACACACGAACAATCTCCGGAGTCTACCCTAACACTTGTGCTAGCAAGTGTTAAAGTAGTATATTAAAATATAAAGATTATTTTAGGGATAATATAAATCTTGTATATTCAATAGTAGAAAATATATCAATAATATTTTAAAGAAAATATTATAACAATTTTCTACACCAAAATAATTTTGGTACCCAAAATAATTCTTTCTCTCCCTTTACTTTTCTCTTGGCCGAAACTCTAAGGAAGAAAGAAAAATGATTTTATAAACATGAGTGGAATAATCCATAAAACATGTTCAAATGCAAAACTCCAAAAGTACATGGTATATTATGAAGTGTAGTGGGAGACAAAGCCTCCACACACACACACAAAATCATGCAAGGTAAGGAAATTAAAAAGGGGGGAAGAATTTAATTCTTCTCCTCTCAAATGTTTAAAGTGTATTTTATTTGACATCAATAATTTTTATTATATAAAATAAAATACCCAAAACATTTTAAAACAAGTATATAAAATATACTTTAATATAGTTTTTGTTAAAATAATTATTTTCATAATTAAAATGACACTCCAAAATAAAATGTACCCAATATAATATATAATGTAATATATATATATGTATGTATGTATGTATGTATGTATGTATGTATGTATGTATGTATGTATGTATGTATGTATGTATGTATGTATATGTACACGTTAAAAGTATATTACATCCATATATATGTACGCACATACTCCCTCCGTCCCCCTGTATTTGTCCACATTTGACTTTTGGAACTGTTCATCTAAGCACTTTGACTCATCAAATTCTTTCAATGTGTAAGCCTAAATATAGTCATGTGTGATCTTGTTTGACTTGTCTTAACATATAGATTATTAATATATAATTTTTATAATTTTTTAATATACAAATTACAAGATAAAATGGATTAAAGAAGTGCATTGGATGGTATACAAAAATGAAAGTGGACAAATACAGGGGGACGGAGGGAGTACATATTACATATATATATGTATATCCGCAAGCTAACATGTAACCATATATATATGTGTATGGCGTGAATAAAGTATACATACATACATACATACATACATACATACATACATACATACATACATATATATATATATATATATATATATATATATATATATATATATATATATATTAAATATTATATATACATATATATTATATTAAACATTTTATTTTACTATTTTACAATATACAAATTAAATATTATCCCTTCTTATAATCCTACTCTTTAAATTGTCCAAAGTGTGTGACCCATATAGGCACTTATAAAACTGGCCACAGTATTGACTCTACACCAATACTATAAGTAATAAGCGGTATCTAGCAACACATTATTACCCCCAGATTATAAGTTCAGACGTTTGCTCCGTCAAAACATTTCTACGACTAAGACTTTATATAACGTAGATCCTTTTGTCTCAATGTCTTAACTTAGTGCAAGGGATATATAAAATAGCCAACTTGTAGCCATTAAGTTATTTACTAATTAACAAGTCTGATTGATGAGAACAGATGTCTAAACTCATCTCAGCATGGCCATGCATTTCCTCAGTCATACTTATCAGTGGGCCCCTACAAGACATTATTCTGCTTAAGTAGCAGTGACAGATTCTTTGTACGTAATCTACGTCTTCGAATACGTGCAGCGGCATGCCCAATACAAAGCCTGTATACCATCCTTATTTAATACGGCTTAGGACAATGAATCAAAGCATGCGGGTTCACACATTCGAAGAACGTAATACCTCAAGTCTGAGGATCGTTATACCAATAGTCGCATTAAGGACACTTAGATCATAGACTAAAAGTCTAGGCAATGTCCTTAAGGTGGGTCAGGTCTGGCATCCTATTATTAACGATAATATCTGCCCGAGAGTAGATGCGAACACTCCGTCATTGACCAAGAGACTAGGTCAAACATCTGACTCTCACTAGTCTCATGCGCACTAACGATATCCCACTCTCGTTAATGCTTCGACTATAGACCGTTTAGATAATATGATTCACTGTTCTACAGTCAGAGTTGTAGTCTTCTGAGTAAGACTATTTGTAGAATATTATATTAAGATCCTTACGTTAATTCTCAAATGTAATCGTACTCTACAAACATTTGAATTACGTAGACGGAAATGTACTATCTTTTATAGATTCTATAATGTTGTCGTCAACCGGTATTCCCGTGGTTGAGGTACAAGCATCACACTATTTTAAGAATACTCAAAGAGTAAAAGGTTGTAATATTCAAAGATGTTCCTGCATATTGCCTTAAGGCTACATTATATAGGGAGAGGGGAAGGGGAAATAATACATAATGCAATGAATGTGAACATGAGGAAGCTTCCTAGCAATATCCTCTTCCAAAGCATGGGGTAACACTCATTCAATCCTGTCTCCAAGGTAGGTTAAAATCATGAATGGGGTTGAGGTTGTGGGGCTTTGAGTTTTGGGTTTGTAGTGGTTGTTTCCTGGGTTTTGTGGGCATTATTTGGAAAAAATGAGAGGTTGTTTTTGGCCAATAAAAAGGGGGCAGGGATGAGGAATATCATGGGTGTTTTTGGACTTATGGGTTTGGGTTATTGTAAGGGAAATCATGGGCAGGAAGTAGGGGCTGGAGGTGGGTCATGGTTTCGGCTCTTTGTGGGTTTTATGTTGGACTAATTAGACTAGATCAAATTAAGACTAGATCAAATTAAGAGAGTTTTAAATATAACTAATTGGACTAATTAGATAAAATTAAGAGACTAGATCATCATATCAGGTTAGACTAGATCAAATTAAGAGAGTTTTAAATATAACTAATTGGACTAATTAGATAAAATCGAACAAAATAGATCTAATCAGAATAAATTAAAGTCAAATCCAATAAGATCAAATCAAATCTATCATCCAACCACATTATAATTATTATTATTATAGTGTTTTTAATAGTATAAAAAATGTAAATGACTTACAGTCATCTATATTTATTTTTGTTACGCTTGGGAATCTATCATCCAACCACATTGGAATATCTATCAAATCTTTGTCTACAATATTTAATAATTATTTTTTAAATATTTCTAAATTCAAAGATTTTTTTCTGAATATGTACTTTTTTATTTTCTATAAAAATATTCAATAAAAATTAGTTTATTTTTTGTTACTTATATCATTACTAATTTTTACTTCATTTTATTATTTGGCTAATGCTAAATCATTGCCACGTGTTGTCATACAGGATAAGAATGTGTATTAGCTGCAATTCCAACTGACCGACGCACAAAGAACTCATTCTGACAAAGAGAGAAGATGGGAAAAATCTCAATCGTTTCGAGTCATACCACACGCACGGCGGAATCGAAAAAATCTACGGCCAAATATGGCATACCAAGTTAGATCGCACATTTTGGAGGAAATCCGAGATGGATCTGCAGCTTATTTTCAAAGGTGACAAAATTCTGAGTCCTAAGTTATACTCTCTGCGTCCCATAAAATTTTTCTCCTTTCTTTTTTTATCCGTCCCACAAAACACTTCTCATTTCTAGTAAAATGTCACTTTACCCCTTACTTTTTCATACCCTAACTATCACATCATACCTTTTTACTAATAATCTATCCATCAAATCATACTTTTATCCATTGGATATTTTTGGAAATTTAATACTAAAATACACTCCCCTTAAGTCCCTCCTAAAACAAAACTCTCGTGTTTGGAGGGAGTATAATTTTAGTGTTCACAATTGTTTATGATATGTTTAAGTGAAAGATTTTTCAAAAACTTTTGAATTTCTTTCTGAATGTCAGATCTAACCTTTCAAAATGGGACAGAGTAATTGCTACTATTTTTTTTAACGTTTGGTATCCCAGTGTCTAAGGTCTAAATGAATATGAATTACTTGAAGTGTTAGATACAAAATGGTTCGTACATAGCTTGTATATTCCAGTTTATGGATATGAGAATGATTAAATGTTAATAAATGTCAAATATATCAATAATTTAATATATTTAATATTATATATTATAATTATGGTTGTTACATATTATAGTTAGAGTTGTTATTATATAATATTACCTTATATAATTAGTCATTAATATGGAGGATTCTAGAATATATTCCTCCACCTATAAATACATATTTTGTATTCCTCTCTTATTCATTCAATCAATAAAGCGTAATTTATTATTTTTTACATGGTATCAGCGTAATTTATTATTGTTTCATCTTCACCGTTCAGGACGTTGGGAGCATGTTAAATATATCAATAATTTAATATATTTAATATTATATATTATAATTATGGTTGTTACATATTATAGTTAGAGTTATTATCATATAATATTACCTTATATAATTAGTCATTAATGTGGAGGATTCTAGTTAATATTCCTCCACCTATAAATACATACTTGGTATTCCTCTCTTATTCATTCAATCAATAAAGCATAATTTATTATTTTTACAATAAATAACAGGGATATGGACATAGAGAATTCATTAACCATACATCTTCAATGTGTAGGAAACTTAGGCCCTTACATCTTTAATCTGAATACTTTAAGATGACGAGACAGGTTTCATGGCAAATTTTTAAATTGAATGAGCAATTTTTCTTAAATTTTGTCACTATTTTCAGAATATGTTTTTTGTATATGAAAGTTGGATGGTTTCTTATTTTCATAATTCCCTAACAACTCATTTAAGCCCTTAAGTATCAAAATTATATAAGGAATGTTGAGTTTTTTAAAGTCCTGTCATGTTATGGACATTTTTAACAACAATAATTGGACTCACAAGTTTCTCTTAGTTATTTCCTTATTTTTCATTTCTTTAAAAAACTGAATATTGCCATGATAGTGGTTGTATTAACACATTCGTTTAGGTGCTTCTTTTTTTATTTTGCAAAACAGAATGCAATTAATAATTCCATTAAAGATGAGTCAACCTCTTTAAGGTTAAGACGTATATAAGCCTTATTGAATTTTTTAAACCACATTTATATTCTGAACATATAAGGTAGTACAGATTAGGTAAAGGTAAATTCCAAAATAAGTGTTACTCATAATAGGGAATGTTGTTTTTTTCCTTCAACACAGTACATATTAGTGTTCATCATACATAATGTAGTGTATACTACCAGTAACATTTAAATATAGGTAAGAGTATGATTCTATATACATTTTTTTGTAAGATGTTTATGGATTTCATGCAGAGGGGTCATTTGACAAATACTATGCATTCATTTTTAGTATCAGTTAAATTTTTCTGAATATTTGTTATCTAATCAGCCACTATTCTAAGGTATGGTACTCTAACTTTGTTTCTTCACTTTACAGGATAAGTCAGGAAATTGTGTTATGACACAAGTGGTTGAGGTATGAGAATAAATATATAAAATGTTGGGAAATTTGTTGCCTAATCAGGTATTTCTTCTGTGCAGTACTATTTTTTCTTGTATGATTTTGTTTACTCTACAAATTATATGTGGTATGTAGCACAACATATTATAACATGAGTAGGTGAATTCATATGATAACAGTGTACCTTTTTCATGGGAATAAGGTATAGGAATGTTGTTTTGTCGACATATTAATTTGGTAGACAGTAAATCCATGATAGTCTGCATAAAAAGTAAATTTACCACTCAAGTCTTATGCATTCATTTCACTGTTGTTTTTTTGTTGTGGTATGGATATATAAATATAGGCAATTTGAAATAGAATAGAAGTTTTTTTCATTGGTGTTTCTGTTTCATAACTATTAAATATTTTTTCATTTAAGTCATTTGATTAAGGTAAGTTGCTGCATTAAATTTTAAATATAAGAAAGTCATATAGGATGTAACATTACTTCATAAATAAGAAGCTGCAAACTCGCATTACATGAAATGGATAATAAATGTAATTTATAAATAACTAACAACATAGTAGGCATAATACTTTTAACAATAGGTAATGTAGAATACAGTAGCTATTTGAAAAAAAAAGTCTTAAATTGGAGGCTTCTCCAAGCTTGATTCAGTCTTTCTCAATCTTCACACTCACGTTGGGTTTTTTTTGTCAAGTGAGTCTCCTTAGCTTCAAATTCCTTTCTAAGATCTCGCTTCATATTAAAATTTGGTCCATCAAAACATGCATCAATATCATGGTTCTTAGAAGTATCATCTTTGGTGGAATCTTCACATGCATCTAAATCTAGTGTCTGAGTGATGATCTTCTTCACTTTACTCTTTACAGAGTCCTAAAATAAAACAATTTGCTTGTCAATAATAATAGTATGAAATAAGCCAAATAAACAAAAAGTATACCTGTGTGATAAGGTTCTCATATGAAGACTGGCTCATTTTTCTGTTAGCATCAATGATCTGATGAACAGCAAAAGTTTTTTCATTAAAAGTGCTTTCTGACTTTCTCACTTCAAGTTCAAATAAAAACTGATGGTCAATGATGGAGTTAAACTCTCTTGGGATTTGAGTATCATCACCCTGTATTTAATTAAAATATTAGCATTTAGAGAGAATGAAACATATGCACATGCAATTTTATTTTAAATATGTGATTTTTAAAAATCATACAATATCCCTTAAAAATTGTTCCGCTCGCTTTCCGAATAAATGTATACAATATTTATCCCACAACAGAAAGGCGAGATTTCCTGTATTGTCAACGGAATCCGTTTCATTTAATCCAAAAAAGGACTTTTATTAAAGAAGTTATTTATGGCAAATATTTAATAATAGTTATAAGAAAATGTAAGACGTACTTCAAAACAGAACCATTTAGGTTACAAACTACACAAAAATGAATTCCATTCGTGGGGCTTAGTTTCTTACAACAATTCTTACATGATGTATAACACACCAAGTTCCATGGTTTTCGAACCCAACAATCATACACAGTACCCATGCATACACGTCCTTTTTGTGAAATGTGTGAATATGTTGAACACCGGCCTATTATGGATATCATTAGAAGTTACAATATATGTAAACATTGAAATAAAGGATATTTTTTATGATATACTTTTCTGCTACTGTATACTTTGAATTCTGGCAAGTAAATAACAAATGAAAAGCTTTACATATAACCCAATATAAAGCATTTTTTTGTACTTGCTATCACAGATACTTATAAATATATACATAGTATTTGAATAAGCCACTGGAAAATAAGTCAGGCATATACTTTTTAGTTTTTTCTATCAGAATAACATTCATTCAATGAAAAATGCAGTGTAACAATAAAATAAAAAATAATGTGTGATATATACCTCATAGTTCTCAGCAACTTATTCTAATGTTTAGATCTCAAGATTTGGAGGGGCTGTTGTGCATAAAGAACCACTCAATCTTAAAAGTTAAAACATCATGTGTAGAGACTCCCTTAGCTAATAACCTATAGATATTTGTGTTAGTTCCATATACATTTAGGCAGAATAAGGAGTATAGTTCATTGTAGTGTAACAATGTTTCTTACTTTTTTGAACTCCAATATAGGTGGGAAATCCTGATCCAAAATGAGCTTTGTAACATCAAAAAAGGTGGATACCTTGGAACAAAGTATCCACCTTTCTTGAGTGAATGAGAGTTTGTACCGGGGGTCTCTCAAATTTTGAGTATTTTTTGAGACAATAGGATTTTGTATTCCATGCAATTGTCGTTTCAGTAAAGGCATAAACTTCGACATTAGTGGCTTCTTATAGAATGCATGAATACAATTTCCCTACATATTATAAAAGATATCATGAATTACAGCATGAAGTTCGATACTCATATACATAAAAAAATATATGTTTTTAACGCAAACCTGTTCATCTTGAAATATAACTTCATGGCCATAGATTGTATTCTGTGTACTCTTTCTTGGCTTAAGAACATAGTGTCGAAGTAGTCTCAATTTCACAGTGTCATGATGACGAGCAGGGTGGAGCCTGTTGAGAGGGATCCAATTTGGAGACATCTCTTAAAAGAGTTTAAGCACAAAGTGGTTCGTCAGTTTTCAAGAATGAAGTGCAGTCGTTATAAGAACGTGAAGAAGGTCAAAGAATTTTTTTTCGTGGCTGAAGAATTGCAATCGTGGGGTTTGCGGCTTTCAGCGATTGTATATTTTCTGTTTTAAAAACCAGTTTCATTTTTTTGATGTTTGGATATGATATCAAGAAAGAATTAATTGAGCCATTCTTAACAACTATAAAGATTGAATCTGAACCATTATTCTACTAATTGGATGGGTGGTAGCTATCTCTGACAGTTTCTGAATGATTCATTGGACTTTTGATCTAGATTAAAATTGGACCATTCATTTGTAATTCTGGGGGAATAGGAACCGTTGATCAAGACATCATGTTAAATCTAGACTGTTGATTAGTTTTTTCCAATGTTATTTAATTAAAAGTTGAGACTGCATTTTATTTTCTTCATATTTAATACGAACTGTTTTTTGGGCCGTACGAAATAGAAAGGCGGTTTTTAATAGGTTGCTTTACAGTTTTTGAGACAGTTTATTGAGGATAAAATTGGACCGTTGATTCACCAATCTAGCGGGAAAATTGATTGCCAATTTTTTATTCTTCTTTTTTATATATAATAGATTCCAGTCTTTAAATAAAATAATTTTAAAAAACTTTGGATTTTTCTTCATTTAGCAAAATTTGTAATCTTTTATAGGACGGAATTTATATTTATTTGTGTTTTTTCATGGCCTATATGATAAAATAAAATATTCTTGTCACTACTTGTTTTGTTGAACTTTTGATGTAGTTTTTAAATATGTATGTTTTATTTTTTATTTCTATACCAATATTTAAATAAAATAGATTGAAAAAACTTGAGATTTTTCTTCGTTTTGCGCAACGGGAAGAAAGTTTTAGGACAGAGGGAGTACTAAAATAGGAGTCCTATATCTTTTAAGACAAAAATAAAATATAATGACAGTGTGGCGTAAGAATACGCATTGGCAGTGTGATAAAAAAGTGATGACAATGTAATATGTCAATATGATTAGTCAACTGTCTGCGATCTACAACGACATTCTGGTTGCCGGCAGCGATGGGTCAAAGTGTAGTGGTGATAGTATGACAATTACAATGCGACAATATGATAAGCATGACAAGTAACAATGACAATGCAAATTTATATTTTGGTCTCAAAAGACTTATGGCTCATATTTTAGTATTTTCACAATCTTTTACTCCTATTTTTGTATTTAAAAATTTAAATAGAAACATTATTTTGAAATGGAGTATTAAGAAGAAAATAGAAGTCTACAACCCATGAAAGGAAAGCCCAAAACGAAACAAGCCCAATCCGTGCGAGGAGAAATTGGGGATCAAGGGATGACATGGAGCCATGGAGGTGAACTTCCTGTGGCACCACCACTGAAACCGTTAATTAACAGCCGTCAAGAAACCATCCAAGAAGAGAAGAGTCTCCCAAGTCCCAACGACCCCCATTCAGACATCAGAAAGAGGGAAAACAACAAGAACTGCTAAGAGAGGGGGGGGGGGGGGGGGGGTT